AAATCGGGTTGACGAAAACGCGTCGGTAATGACTAAGAAATATATTTTCTAGTTTTATTTTTATCCAAATTCTCTTGAGAATTATTCTGGGAAATTTAACGTATATATATATATATATATATATATATATATATATATATATATATATATATATGTGTGTGTATAAATTGTCCAAATCGTGTAACAGCATAATTACACATCCCACAAAATGTCTAACATTGTCTACAAAGCCACTAAAATGACTTTCTTTTTTCCAGGTTTTCAGAAAAGAAAATTTAGCCATCTTCACACAATTTTTGTAAGAATCACGGAAAAAATCCTTTGAGTTATTCAGCTAGAAAGAGAACAGGTTAGAACCGTTTTGTGTCAGCCCCACTGTCTTCCCAAATGAGCAATGGTGAGAGGAAAATATCATTCAGGCCTTCAGTAATGGTACCAACATTCATACTCTGGCTTCCATTTTCAAGGTTCATTCAAAGAAATTTGACACATGGGAAAACATGGACAGACCTAAAAATATATAAATCTTTTACTTTCAACCCTCTGATAAATTGGGTAAGGATTTACCTTAAATTAATTTCTGAAAAGGCTATATATGAATCTCTTGCTTCCAAGCCATACTGTAAAAAAGAAAGATCAGGGTTTGCCTTAAATTCAATGGAGAAAAACTGGGAGAATATATAAATCGCTTTCGACATGAACTAAGAATTATACAGAAAAGATTCAGAATTAATGGCTGTTTTAAAAGTCACCCATTTTCATTCTTTTCTTTCTGTTGGGTGGACGGGTCCTCTTAACTTTTTTTTGTTTTAGTTTGAATATATTGCTATTGTTTTTTTTTTTGTTTTTTTTTTTTTTTGTCATTAGGTTGCCCCTCCCAAAACACACATTTTATGATATATGATTGTATATATAATTGTATATTTTTGTCAAGAAAAAAAAAAAAAAAAAAAAAAAAATTGTAAATATCCGTAAATTTTTACATTATGGGCTTTCAGTAGGTTCCTCTGTGATTTTCAGTTACTTTGGTAAATGTAGGATTGGGTGCAGAGGGATGTGTTCTTGTAGCGAACGAATAAATTGTAACGAATTAAGATATACACTAACAGGCGGTCAGATGCGGCACAAGGCCGAATTTAATGTGAGGTGAACTGAGCCTGTAGGCTCGGGCAAAAATTCCCCGAAGACCACGTATATATGCACGGGTCGGGTAGCTGTCTACAATCCCCAGATGAGATTCTGCCCTACGACATAGCCTCGTCTGGGTTCCTCTCTGCCCAGGCAGAGGCAGAGAGTTTGACAAGCACACAGTGGAAGTGAATGGGTCGCAAATAAGATTGGCTAGATTTAAGATAGTCAGTGACCACACTTCACCTTCGGCCTTGTGCAAAAAAATTATACTTAAAAAATTAAAATAAATATACTATTATTTTTTTTTTTTTAGTTTTTGGATCTGATGGGGCCTAGAAAGGCGAAACGCGTAATCAATATATTTTTATATATCAAGAAAAATATTGGGAAAAAAATGTATAATAAAGTGGAAAAAGTTTTCGTGATGTGTTTTTGTTTTTTGTTTTTTTTTACCTCATCGGATTAAATTTGTTATGCCGGTGCGACTACGCATGCGCACGAATGAGGGATGCTGGAAATTTAATATTTTTTAATCTAATTTCATTGAGATTCTTTTTTCGTTTTGCTTCCATTACTTTTGTTAGTAGATACTCCACACTGTGATAATAGAAGTTCTGCCAGGAACGGGGAAATGTTGTAAGAGCCAATCAAAACTATTATTAAAGTGTGGGATATATATATATATATATATATATATATATATATATTCGAAGTCGGCTCTCCGCTTCTCAATCCGAACCGCTATCTACTACTCCACCATGCCTTCCAGTCGAATCCATTACATTCACTTACGTGCTACTACCCTTGGGAAACGTATAGGCCCTCTTCTTCACTCCCCAGCTATGAGGAAATAGCAGGCAAGACTGGGTTCTATAGCCTTGGATGGCAACTGGTCTAGAAGAAGGACCACTCTGAATTCAAAATCCGGAGAAGGGTCGTTTGGAGACCTTGTGGCACATAATGCCCCATGTCTCTTTATTCAGCTCTTCAAAAAGTGTGGTTGGTTCTGCACAAAGCCTTCATCATTAAAATCAAATCTCATGTGCTGGTGTCTGGGCTGTCGGTTTCTGTTAACTGATCTGCTTGACCCTCATACGTCAAATACGACGGGAGAGTCTACTATATATATATATATATATATATATATATATATATATGCACACACACACTTTGTTTTAGGATATTACATCGAAAAAGATGTCAAAATCGCTACACCATTGCAGTCGTCTTTCGATGGGTATCAACGCATCTCAGAAGGTGATTGTAAATTACTGCCGAGTGAACGATTTATTTAGATTTAAAAGCAAACTACAGCCTCTTTTTACGAAAAAAGAAAAAAAAGGGGGAGCTATAAGGTTTGTGATTGATTGGTTGATCTGAGTAAATCTTATAACCCCAACATTTTTTTTCGTAGTAAGAGGCTGTATTTTGCTTTTAAATCTGAATACATCATTCAATTGGCAGATCGCCTGATGAGATGCATTTAGACGCATCGAAACACGACTGCAATTGTGTAGCGATTTTGACATGTTTTTCGGTGTAATATCTTAAAATAAAGAATATTGCTCTACTTTGTATTGAGCCCTATTTTAAATTAAATATTACGTATGTAGGTATTGTACTCTATTCGTTCTCATCTTACCTAGATATATATATATATATATATATATATATATATATATATATATATATATATATACAGCAAAAAAGCAAAAATCACCTCTACATCGGAATAGACTATTTCAAGCTCTCTGGGATCAGATCAGTTTTAATAATTAATATTACTAGGATCCACCCGGATTATATACCAACGGATCGATTACCAGTACAATATATATATATATATATATATATATGTTATGCAAAATTAGGTAATCCGTATGGGTAGACCCAAGGAGGATGATATCCAGAGAGCTCAATGTAAATTCAGAGCAAATATGTTTGAATAAAAACAGGATCACTTTAAGGTTCCATGTAATAAGTTATTTCACCACAGCCTTTTTAAAGGGCTCTGGATCATCAGACTTTACTTCCAAAAGTTGAATATATATATATATATATATATATATATATATATATATATATATATATATAAAGTTTAGGTATCTCCATTTGTATGACAATGCATGTTTTACCTACTAACTAATTTATTTCCAATTTGTCGTTTAACATTCTATACATATAGAAATTAATATATTACAAAATACACAAATTCTTGCACTACATTGCCCATAGCAGTACATAATCCAAGCAGCAACGTAGACGAAAAATATATAAATGTGTATGACTGATAACGCATGCGCACTTCACTCATTATTTGTTTGCCCAAGTGTCATGGCTTATGGCAAAAGAGGAACAGCCTTCTCTCCACCCAACTCTCTTCATTCCGCCGACCGCTGACTTTCATTGTCGTAAACTTTTCAAAAAACGACCACCTTCCTTTTCTCCTGTCGTCGATGTATTCATTTTATTCCATAGGTGATTTATTTTTTTATTTTTTTTAAACTCATTTTTATACTTTCTCTCGATTATTATTTTTAAATGCTTGCCGAAATAAATGAAATGTTTTCGTAATTCGAGAAAAATAATTACGACAGGTGCGAACATAAGATGGAAAGAACGAATTAGCGGACCGGAAACCGCGAATTGCGCCCGGAAAGATGACAACCGAACCAAATAAGGTAAAATAAAAAAATAAATATAGAAATGAAAATGGAATAGAAAGACTGTAAAAAGAACAAAGAAGCTCCATAAATGGCGGCAAAAAAAAAATCGTCAAGTGCGAATTAATAAGACAAAAATATAAAACAACTTCTCATCAGTAGAAGCAGGAAGAGAAAAGAATGATAAAAATGAATATCAATTAATAATTCGAGGTTATGGCTGACTTCATCAATTGAAGTAATTATTGGAATCTATAGAATGATGCGGTGAGATGTGGGTTCTTTGTGTGTCGACTTGAGGAGGTTTATTGAGAGATATTAGTGGAGTTATATTGTTATTAAACACTTATTGATTTTCATCTGTCAATCTTTTTATTAGCCGATCTGACCTATGTTATGTAGGTTCATATCTATCAATCTGTCTATCTATCTATCTCAGTTCATTAATGTATCTATCTTATTTATTTCGGTCTATTAATCAATCTATCTATTTAGATCTATCTATCTATCTATCTATCTATCTATCTATCTATCTATCTATCTATCTATTTCGGTCTATTAATCAATCTATCTATCTATCTATCTATCTATCTATCTATCTATCTATATTAATCTATGTATTTATTTCGGTCTATTAATCTATATATTTCGGTCTACCTATGTATCTATTTATTTCTGTCTATCTATCTATCTATCTATCTATCTATCTATCTATCTATCTATCTATCTATTTCAGTCTATTAATCTTTCTATCTATTTATTTCGGTCTATTAATCTATCTATCTATCTATCTATTTCAACCTATTAAATTAGCTAAGACTGTTCATACCTATCTATCTTAGTCTATTATTTAATAATGTTCAAATCTATCTATCTATCTATCTATCTATCTATCTATCTATCGTAGTCTATTCATCAATGCATCTATTTCAGTTAGCTCCTATCTATTTAAAACTGTTGATATATGTGTATGTATGATTCTGTCTATCTATCTATCTCTCTTTCTTTCTCTCTCTCTCTCTCTCTCTCTCTATATATATATATATATATATATTTAAAGATATTTTTGTATGTACAAAATTTAATCACAGAAATAAAAGTGTGACGGTTAATATTACTAGACATATTAAAAATGTATATATATATATATATACCTATCTCTCTATCTTAGTCTATTCATTGATCTATCTGTTTCAGTTAGTTCATATGTTCATATCTATCTATCTATCTATCTATCTATCTATCTATCTATCTATCTATCTATCTATCTATCTATCTAAACCTGTTCATATCTATCTATCTATCTATCTATCTATATATATATATATATATATATATATATATATATAAGACACTTTATAACAAAAATCAAACCAATGAAGCAAAACCTTTGACTCTCTTCTCTGGACACACATGCAAATAGACACATATAACTATTGCATATAAAAGACACATAAAGATAATTTATTGCGACCTACCCTTTTTAAAAATATCTTTAACTTCACCTGCAGCCGACTGCCCCAGTCACGTTGCTTTAGAATATCAGCCATTCTTTTTTTTATCCAGGGTGGCACATCTTCCCGTTGTGGCCCAGGTTGCTGTGGTACGGGTGTTTTGATGGAGTCAGCATCTCTAAACTGATTGTCAGCCAAGACTAGAAAACCGGGTCTCTGCTATTTAACCCATAGCTGGAGGATGAACGCGATGGTTTAATACCTTTGCCAAGGGTTTTTGTACGAAAGTAAGCCGTTGACATGACCCGTATTTTTTACCTATTTACAAAGAGTAAATTATTTCTGACACAAGGCCACAGATATTGAGTGACCGGTGAGGATCGAAATCACGATAAAGAAATAACGATCGCTTTCTGTGTTTTTAATAGGCGCTTTGTCTCTACCAGTCCTCGACATCAATATTTTACTATCACTCTCTCTTTCTCTCTCTTTCTCTTTCTCTCTCTTTCTCTTTCTCTCTCTCTTTCTCTCTCTAACTCTCTCTCTCTTTCCTTCTCTCTCGCTTTCCTTATTCTTTTTATTTCTCTCTTTCTTTCTTTTGCTCTTTTTATCTCTCTGTTTCTTTCCTTATCCCATTTTCACTCTCTCGCTCGTTCTCTCTTTCTCTCTCCATCTTTCTTTCTTTCTTTCTTTCTTCTTCTCTCTCTTTCGCTTTCCTTATTCTTTTTTATTTCACTCTCTCTTTTTCCTTTTTTTCTGTTTTTATCTCTGTCTTTCTCTCTCCCTACCCCACTTTCACACTCTCGCACTCGCACTCTCTCTCTCTCTCTCTCTCTCTGTTTTCTCTCATTCTTTCTTCCTCTCTCTGTCCGTCTTTCTCTCTCTGTCATTCTTTTTTTCTTTCTCAAGTGCGCACTTTCCTTACTCTTTGTATTTCTCTCTCTTCCTTTCTCTTTCTCTCTTTTCTCTCTCTCTCTCTCTTTCTCTCCCTATCACACTTTCACTCTCTCGCTCCCTCCCTCTTTCCCTCTTTCTCTGTTTCTTTCTTTCTTTCTTTCTTTCTGTTATTCTTCTTCTCTCTCTTTCGCTTTCCTTATTCTTTTTATTTCACTCTCTTTTTCTTTCTTTATCTCTTTTTATCTGTCTCTTTCTTTCTCTGCCTCACTTTCACACTATCGCTCTCTCTTTTTTCTCTTCCCTTTTCTTTCTTTCTTTCTTTCTTTCTTTCTTTCTTTCTTTCTTTCTTTCTTTCTTATTCTTTTTTTCTCTTTCGTGCGTGCACTTTCCTTACTCTTTTCATTTCTCTCTCTCTTCCTTTCTCTTTCTTTTGTCTCTCTCTTTCTCTCCCTATCTCACTTTCACTCTCTCTCCACCCCTTTCTCTCACCCTCACGCTTTCATTCTGCCTTTCTTTCTTTATTCCTCTCGGTCTCTCGATGATACATAAATTCGATCCAATATCAAAATTAAAAATCTCGTTCCTTCTGAAAGGAATGATCGCTGGCCATAATGGTTATCTCCGCGGAAAATGGAATCGACAAGCCGGCTTCAAATTCCTGCAGGCATGTTGTGTTCGCTTCTTAGTAATGCCTTTCAGAAAGACAGATAAAATAGTAAGGCAATCTGGATTCTCTAAAATTTACCGTATTTTTTCGGATATAATACGCATTTTTTATTGTAAATTACAGGTAATAGTAGGGGTGCGTATTATAAATAGGTTTAAACAAAAATATTTTTTCGTTATTGATTTATAATAATAAATACTTGTTTGTTCTAAAATAAGAAAGATATTATCCCAATTTTCATTTTAAATCCAACAATAATACATGTAACATTTTTTTGTCAATAAATATATGTTTATCAGTAACCGCATTTTTTATTTGGAGAAAAAGTTTTAAAAAATCTATAAAAAGGCCAATTTCGAAGAAAAGAGGATATTAAGTTAATTTATTGAAATTTTAATTTTCATCATCATCATCGTCATCATCATCATCACCAGTTTCTATTATAGAATCAATATCTAAAAATTGTTATTAAACAAATTATCATTCACAATATCTTTGTCCTGTTCAAAATTATTTTCGGCCTCTTCATTCTCTTGTCAAAGGATGTCATCTTCAGAGCCATCCATGGCTGCTGTGGGACAACACTTCTTGAAACCTCTATTTTAGTGACATCCATACTGACATTTATCGGGAAAAGCGCATGTTAATTTTCAACATCCACTCGAATCCATTACATTCACATACGTGCTAATACCCTTGGGAAAAGTATGAATCCTCTTCTTCTCCCCCCAGCTATTGGTAAATAGCAGGACAGTCTAGGTTCTCTAGCCTTGAATGGCAACTGGTATACCGCAGAAAGAAATGTCAACCTACTGCGGGAAAAAAATCTGGCTCGTCAGTCATGTATCGAAAGATACATGATCGCCTAACCGTGTATCACGCATGGCACATAACTGACTGATTTTTCAACATTATTTTAAACGCTTAGTTTTGATTTTATGCTTAATGTCAAAGTCGACAAAATGTCTTCGTAATTACTTTTTGTTTTTTTGACAAAAATTATAGATGCGCATTATACATAGGGATAGATATATTTCTTGATTTTTGGATCGTTATTTATGGGTGCGTATTATTTTCGAGAAATTACGGTCGTTGGCAGCCAGTCTAGGAAAAAGACAACATTAACTTCTGAATCATGGAAAAAAACAATTCGAATCAACTCAGTTATTTTCCCAAGAACTGTCATGGTAGCATAGATATTAAAGAAGGTTGTACAGGGTTAAGATGACCTGAAGGAATAAAGAATCCTGTCTAGGATTGGGAGATGTTATGGAGAGGGATCTTTCTTTCAGCTTGATCACTATATTTTTATTAATAACCCAGAGACGGATATGCAATATGTTAGGTCCTGACCTGGCATCTCGTCGACAGTCACTTTCTCACAGACGTGATATGGCTTCCCTCTGTCTTTTCTACAAATGTTTTCATGGCAACTGCTCTGACGAGCTACTTTCACTGGTACCCAAACTGCATGAATTTAAGCGTTCTACTAGGTTGGCATCTCGGTCCCACCCTTTCAGTGTCGAAACGGCTAAATGTAGCCGTCTCTTCTACTCCAACAGCTTCTTATCTCACACTTCCCGTTAGTGAAACTCCCTTCCTATTACTTGCTTCGCTCATAGCTATAATCTTCAAATGTAATGTCAATCGACATCTTCTGATGCATTGACCTTGATCCCCGTCCTTCTCTTTATGCTTTTCCCAAACACTCCTCTTTTACTCTTACTCCCTGTAACTCCTTGCGGGTTAGTGGTATTCTCGCCTTGCTTGCGGCGTTTGTTTAAAAAAAACATCTCAGACAAGGATGACATCTCGTCCGAAATTGTTCGAAAATCATTTATCTGCTTCACAACCGAATAGTGTCACCTGGCTCAACGAAGTGCCCTCTTCATCTACCGGTACCCTTCCAAATGATGAGTGCACTCGAGTCGGAGTCTCGATCCGTCTTGGATTCAAATTATGTGAGCATCACAGATGCAGATGTGGAGCTTCCATTGATGAGTTTGGTTTGCATCCTCTCTCCTGTCGTCGTAGTGCCGGCCGCTTTCCACGGCATGCAGCCATTAACGATATCATCAGAAAAGGTCTGCATGCAGATAGGTTCCTCCTCCTAAGTCGAACCCATATGCCTCGACCGTAGTGATTGAAAGCGGCCGGATGGGATCACCATTTTCCCTATTAAAGTTGGGGAAGTCGTTGATTTGGGATGCAACCTGTGCCGATACATTTTCGACTGATAAATTGATCAGGTCCGCCGTTGAGCCGTGGTCTGTCGCTCGGGACGCAGAGATAAAAAAAAAAAAGATAGTTAAATATTCTTCTTTTGCGGACAGATTTATAGGGACTTCTAAGGTTATTGGCCCTCGTTCGATGACGGGATGGCGTCTCGATTAAGGGACGAGCCTCGCGAAACGGAGCGGCACTTGCAGCGTGTCTCACTGGCGATGATGCGAGGTAATGTTTTCTCCATCATTGCGGCTGGGCAGAGGATAGCAAAAAAAAACAAAACATTTTGTTATTGTATATAGATACTTTGTTCAAATGAATATTTGCTTTATAAAGTATAATAAATTTGATCAGGTCTATGGTTGAACTGGGGTCTGTCACACAGGATATGGAAATAAAAAATTGTTAAATATTCTTCTCTTGCCAACAGATTTATTTTTACTCCAATGACAGTGGAGACTTCTGGGATTATTGGCCCTCGTTCGATGGCGTTCCTTAGGAGGGTTGGTGGGATGGCGTCTCGATTATAGAACGATCCTCGCGAAACGGAGTGGCTCTTGAAGCGTGTCTCACTGGCGATGGAGCGAGCTAATGCTTTCTCCATCATTGCGGCTGGCAGAGGATAGAAAAAAATTGTTTATAGATACTTTGTTCAAATAAATATTTGCTTTTAAAGTATAACAAACTTCGTAAGATTGAGTGTCGGTAAAACTAACTAGTGACGTAAGCCAAGAGTGTTGTGACGTAAGCCAAGAGTGTTGTGACGTAAGGAAAGACTGCTGCGACGTAAGCGAGCAGTAAAGTGTTTTTTTTCTATAATGAAATGTCACGCCATTTCAAAATTTGACAAAACTCACCATTGCCTCTAGCTACTCTGATGATGACTTAAGAAAGTCGAAAGCTTGGACCATATTTCAACGGTCAATCAGAAAAATCAAAAGAACTTTTGTCGATTATGGATATATATATATATATATATATATATATATATATATATATATATAGTTAAATTCCCAGATCACTTCTGTGGACAAGACAAATTGGTATAAGATGACAACTGAAATAAATTTTTGCCCACGGGTTTCGTCTTACGACTTTTCAAGGCAAAAATGAAATCGAAATGCTTTTGTTGTTACATTACAAAATCCAAATTTAAAAAAGATTAAAAAATTAAAAAAAAAAAATAACTAAAAACATTAACCCCAGCAAATAGCAGGAAAGACCGGGTTCTATAGCCTTGGATGGCAACTGGACTACCGCAGAAAAAAATAGGAAAAATCTGCCTCGTCAGTCATGTATCGAAAGATCTCCTAAGCGTGTATGGTACATAAAAGATGTATATATATATATATGCATACATTTACAAAGACTCTCTTATGAAATGGACAAAGTCCGACAATTATTTTTAAGACATTTTTCTGTTAACACATTCTTTTTATAGATACAAATATTTAAGTAAATACTCTGTTTATAACAAACAGTATAAAACAACATTTACTGGCCTGAATGTCCGAAAAATATTCACGGAAAATATTCGTCCTCCGACAGGAACCGAACCTGTATCCTATACGAAACTGATGTGCCTTAACCGATTGGGCCACAGAGAATCGTTCGGCTAGCAAGGTCGATTTTACTGTTTTTAAACTTCAATCTTCCATGAATCTCTCACGTACATAAGGTTAAGGCATGTCTGGCTATATGACGATTCCATATGTGATAAAGGTTCGATTCCTGTCGGAGGACGAAAATTTTCTATGAAGATTTCTCGGACATTCAGGTCGGTAAATGTTTAATAATGTTTATTATAAACAGAGCATTTACTTAAATATTTTTATCTATAAACAGATTGTATACACATAAAAATGTCTTAAAAGACTCTCTTTTCTCTCTCTCTCTATTATATAGGAGAAAGAAAGAGAGGAAAAAGGATGAGGAAATAAAGTAGCAATTATTATTATTATTATTATTATTATTATTATTATTACCCAGTAAAAATGTATTGTTTCTCATTTCATTTAAAAAAATGTTCTGTTGTTTTCTGTTTGGGGTTTACCAATTTACCCATAAGTTGGGACCCTAACAAGTACTACCACCCCGTGTCAGTGTGGATCTGGCACAACATCAATTAAGAGGTAGTTCCATGCTCCGCAAAAACTCCAGATCAGAGGCCTTGCTGCTAGATGTAGTTTGTATTTACTCAACGAGGCCAGGTTTTAACACAATGTCGGTTTGATGTGGGGAGCCTGAGTGTGTACACCCGAGCTAGGAACAAAAATTCCGAGTCCCCGAAACCGTCGGTTGCAGCACCTTTCCCTCTCTCTGGTGCTATGAGAGGGTGCGACCTTGGACAGCTGTTCCCCAGGACTGGGCTCCTCTCAGTATAATTTTTCTCAGTTACGACTATGTCCTTTGATGGAGCCGCGCCCTGATCGCACTCTTGTCAAAAACGAGCGCAACTGAGAGATGATTAATTGGGTGTTACAAACTACCCGAAAGTGTAATTTACACACTTGCTGCTGGATGTAGTTTACTGTCATACCAAGGTCGAAAATGTTATTTTGGTTTTTGATGGTTAACCAGACAGAAATGCATACGTTCGTGTGCACACGTATGTGTGCTCAAGTGTGGCCTCTAGACATTTAATGCAAAACTATAA